GTTCCTCCAAACGAATATGTCCAAAGTATGTGAAGCTAAGCCTCATCATTTTTGCCTTATCATCTCCAACACATATGAGTTTGTTCTCTTGGCCATCCATGGGATGTTCAATGCTCTTCTCCAACACCGTAGCTCAAAGGCATCAATTCTTTTTCTGTCATCCTTATTCACTGTCCAGGTCTCAGATGCATAGCTAATAATTGGAAAGACTATGGCTTGAATCAGCACCTTAGTCCTCATACTGACATCATTACTCCTCAATAATTTGGAAAGGTCCCTAACTGCAGATTTTCCCAGTGCGATGTGTCTCCTTATTTCCTGCCTGCTCGTATTAAGGGTGTTAATTGTGGAGCTTGGCAAGATGAAGCTGTTAACACTTTCAATCTCCTCTCCATCCATCTTGAAACTGCCTTTTGGTCCAGTGGTAAAAATCTTTGTTTTCTTGATAATGAGATACAATCTGAATACTGAAGGCTGCATTCCTTGGTCTTCTGCAACAAGTGCTTTAAATCCTCCTCACTTTTCAGCAAGTAAGGTTTTGTTATCTGCATAATGCAAGTTATTGATGAGTCTCCTGCCAATCCTGATGCCACATTCCTCTTTACAGAGTCCAGCTTTTTGGAAAATTTGCTCAGCATATAGACTGAACAGATATGGAGATAGAATACATTCCTGATAAACTCCCTTCCCAATTCCAAATCATGTAGCGATCGCTTGCTCTGTTCACACAACACTCTCCTGATCCAGGTATAGGTTCTTCATGAGCACAATCAAGTGCTCTGGGATTCCCATTCTTCTCAGTGTCAGCCGCAACTTAGCATGATCCACATAGTCAAACACTCTTACCCAGTCAATACATCAAAAATAGACATTCATCTGGTATTCCTTACTTTGAGCCAGGATCTATCTGACATCAGCAATGATATCCTTGGTGCCACAGCCTCTTCTAAATCCAGCTTGAACTTCTGGAAATTCCCTGTCTTTGTACTGTTCCATTTCTCAAAGCTGAAAGAACTGAACAACAAATTTAAACCTTGTGTCATAATACTGAAAAATGCTATGGACAGTATTTTGAATGACCCAGAAAGAATCAAAAGAAGATGGAGGGAATATACAGAGCCACTGTACCAGAAAGAATTGATTGACACTGAAACAGTTCAGGAAGTACCATATGAACAGGAGCGAATGGTGATGAATGAGAAAGTGGAAGCTGCATTGAAGGCACTGGCAAAATATAAGGCTTCAGAAATTGATAGGATACCAATTGACTTGTTTCAATTAACAGATACAGTCTTGGATGCACTCACTGGTCTATGCCAGGAAATTTGAAGGACGGCTGTCTGGCCAGTGGTTTGGAAGAGGTCTGTATTTTTTTCCATTCCCAAGAAGAGTGATCCAACTGAATGTGGAGATTATTGAACAATATCATTGCTAACACATGCAAGGAAAATACTGCTGAATAGAATTTAAAAATGGCAAAATGAAGAAGTAATGAAATAATAGACCTGAGCAGAAGATTTATTTCAAAGGGCTCCTCAAGAAGATAGAGTAGACCATTATAATGAAATATAATGTAAGGATAAATTAGAGTCAAACATTATAATGAAATATAATGTAAGGATAAGATACAGTAGAACATTGTAATGAAATATAACAATGACTGAGGATGACAGAAGAAGAATTGATGCCTTTGAGTGTGCTTTGACTTGGAGAAGATTATTGAACATACCATGTGGACCACCAAGAGAATAAATAGATCTGTCTTGGAGAGGCGGAAGCCATGTTTCTCTTTGGGGGCATGTGGCCAGGAGGGGCTGGTACTTGGAGAAGGACATCATGCTTGGAAGGGTGGAGGGACAGTGCAAGAGAGGAAGACCCCAGATGAGATGGATTGACAAGATACCGGGGGCAATGGAATGGAATTAGATATGTAGAAGTCAGTGAGACTGGCTCAGGACAGGGCTGGCTTCAGGGCTGTTTTCCATAGGGTCACGAGGAGTCACGGGTGACTCAATGGCACTTAAAAACAACAGTGAAACCTAGAGTGAAAAAAAAGTGATAAATGTGTTCAGCATTTGTCAAGCTGAAAGAAATTACAAGAAGAAGAAGAGGAAGAAGAAGAAGAAGAGGAAGAGGAAGAAGAAGAAAAATTCAAGCCTAGACTTGTAATAGTAAAGGATTCTGTGGCAAAATATTGATTGATGCAGGAAGCATCTAAAGAAGATGGTAGGAACAGTGAGTGCAGAAGACCAGTGTGTCATGCAAACCTCAACCTCAATAACTGAGGCCAGAAGAAGTAGATGGGGCCCAGCTACCACTCCTGACCACTCATAAAGAAATCATATTACATGGCCCTGGATTAAATGGGAGAAAAATACGAACAAAACTCAAAACCAGAAATGATCAAGCTTCATAGTCTTGACAGAGACCAGTGGAAACCCTGACTCTGACTCACTTTTCAATTCTAGAATTAATCTCACCCCTCTGACTCACTTTTCGTGTAAACAGCAGACATGCTGATGAGGTGAACAGTTACACTAGGGAATTGCTTCATAGAGCAGTCAACTCTACAAGACCAAAAGAGCAACATTAGCCCTGGAATAAAATTCAGAAGACACAGGAAGAGGTAAAATAGAAGTAGAAATCACTGGAAGAAATGTACATTTTATATTTAATATTATGCAACAAAATATATATGAATTGTTGAAAGGAAATCGAATTTGCTTTGTAAACTTTCCCTCACATCACAGTTAAAATGAATGGGGAGGGGAAAGGATCATCATGAAGGGAATATAGAGTCCCTGTACCAGAAGTAATTTATCATTGCTCAGCCATTTCAAGATACAGTGGATTTCCAGCAATCAATGCTAATGAAGGAAGAGAAGTCCAAGCTTCTCTGAAGGTATTGGCAGAAACTAAGGCTCCAGGGATTGATGGAATAGGATTGAGATGTTCTAACAGAAGTATGCAGGTTGGATGTGCACACACCTCTATGCCAAGAAATTTGGAAAACAGCTACTTGGCTAATCTACTGTAAGAAATTTTTATTTATGCCTCTCCCAAAGAATGGTAATCCAACAAATGTAAATTCCCAAACAATATCATTAATATCACATGCAGGTAAAATATTCATGAAGAAAATTTAAGAAATGTTTGGAGTAGTGTAGTGACAGGGAATGGGCAGAAATTCAAGCTGGATTTGGAAGAGGATATGTTATGATGTACATCATTGCTGTTTTCTGATGGGTGTTAGCTGAAAACTGAGACTGTCAGACATGTTTACTTATTTTTTCTGACTCTGCAAACCCATTCAACTGGGTGAATCATATTATTAATAGCTTTGTGAAGACCAGAAAGTCTAGAACACTTGGTTTTGTTCATTAGGAACCTGTTGCAAGAATGGTTATAAGAAGTAACCATTAAAAGAGATGAATAGTATACTGCATGGTTTAAAATGAGGAAAAATGTCTATCAGGGACATCATGCCTGGAAAGGTAGAGGGTCAGCAAAAGAGAAGATGACCCTCAACAAGATAGATAAACACAATGATGACAGTCATGGGCATGGGTATGTCAGAAATGATGATGTTGGCATAGGATAGGACAGGGATCCGATCCTTTGTTCATAGGGCCACTATGAGTAGTCCTTAACTCAGTGGTACATAACAGCATTCTGTCTATATGCTGAGCACGTAATATGAAGATGAGCATGACATCAAGATTTGAGGCAGAATTATTAACTACCTATTATATATATTGATTATGCAACCTTGCTCCCAGATATGAAGTGTTTAAAGATTATAGCCTTCACTGTGGATGACACTTCAGTATAAAAGAAATCTTCACAACTGGACTAATAGACTCTCTTGATAAATGGAAGGAAAAAAATTGACATTATCAGGATTATCTTTTAGTGGATTCTGAGACCATCCAAGACCATGGAAGCATCTATTAATAAATCAAATAACACACTATCCTAGGCATATAGGTTACAAAGAATTGCTTCAAAGTACTAAAAGTAAAGATAAGCCTTGGAGGACCAAGGAGCACCTTACCTATGATATTTTCAGTTTCCTCCTAAGCATGTGAACGTTGTGCAATAAATAAGGAAGACTCAGGAACCAGTGATGCCTTTGAATTGATGCTTTTGAGCTGATCATGGGGAGGAAATAAAACCATAATGCTCTTTAGTAGCAAGGATGGCAAGACTCCATCTCACATTCTTTGGCCATTTCTTTTTTAATTTTTTTTTTTTTTGCCATTTCATCAGGAAGTACCAATCCTTGGAGAATGACCTCATGTTTGGTAAAGTAGATGGTCAGCCAAGAAAGGCAAAGACTGTCAGCAAGATGGATTGACAGTGACTGCTACAATGACTTCGCATCCAGCAGGAGTTTTGAGCATGTTATTAGAACTAGGCTGTGTTTAGCTGAATTGGGTTGAGTCAGAACCAATGTGTTGGCACTTATTAGCCACAGAAACACAGCTGTTTCTAAGGAGCCCTGCTGATGCAATGTTTAAGTGCTTTACTACTAACTGAAAGGTTGGTGGTTTTTAAAAGATACCAAGTTATGCATAATTTATTTTGGATAATTTATTATGGATGACTTAAATTTGTTTCAAATTTGAGCAATCCAGTGTTTATATGAACTTTATCATCTCAAAATAGTGTAATCCATGAGGCCAAAAAAGTTATTTACAATAAGCTCTGTTTAGTAATTTTGTCTGGAAGAGATTCTTCTTTATTTTTCTTTAAGTGATTTGTTCTTTAGAACTAGATCACCTGGTTGAAATAATGGCTCCTTCCTTGTAAATGAACATGTTTTTTTTTAAAAAAAGATTTTAAAATGCATGCTATATTACTTTTCATTGAGAAAAATGAAGTTGTGCATTTAGATGTGATCAGACACTGTTAGAAGAATTAGTTTTTCTGTTTAAAGTTGAATCACCTCACTTACCCCTTCTTATATGGCCTTTTTCTACCCCTTTCTCTTCCGTTAGTGTTTGCTTTCACAACCAAAGTTCTGGGCCATTCAGACATCAGCTTTGATCCTCCGGACGAAACTTGAGAGAGGAAGCACACGCCGAGTGGAACGAGCAATGAGACAGACACAGGTAGGAATTAATGTGACCATTTTTGCTTTTCTTCTACCCATTCTTATCAATAAACATACATGTGTATTAGGAATTTAAAATAGGGAATGGTTTTGTTTTACTCAGATACTTTAGTAATAAAGTGTAGATTCCAGAGTTTAACTTCCTGCTTCTAAAGCCAAACTTTGTCATTTAGTAGCTCTGTGGCCACAGTATTTTAACTCTCTAATCTTCCTTTTCCTCATCTGTACGAGGCTGTGGAATGAGAAATATCTTTACTGATGTCAAGTTGATTTTGACAGAAAGCAGAGAATGTTTACTTGCGTTTTAGTGATTATGCAGAGGGATTTGACTGTGTTCTTGTTCTTGTTAAATGCCATCGAGTCATAGGCAGTTCATAGCGACCCTATGAACGAAAGACCTGAACACTTGTGTAACTTTCTTTATTCCTCCAAGTTCATAGGGTTTCCATAGGCAGGCATTTATGGAAGTGGATGCCACTCCTGCTTCTAAGCTTGTTTTAATCGGGGAGCTCCACCAAATACTGTCCACCATTGGTAACCAATACCACATTTGGCACAGCAGGGTCACAGTGTTCAGCATCACAGCAACCACGAGTTACTCTGTACAGTAAATAGACAGACCAGAACTATACCACCTAGAAGAATGTTTGACCAAAAACAATTGAAAGCAGGCCTGAGGGATGCAGATTAAAATCACCCACCTTTGGTTTGGTAGCAACACTTTCTGTCCATTAGGTCAACTGAGCTCTCTCTATGTTGTTGTTAAATGCTGTCGAGTCATAGGCATGTGTAGATCATTGTAAATTATGGATAGCAGAAGAATTTGAATTTCTAAACACATAACTGTGAAACTTGCACATTGTTCCAGAAATAGTCATTTGAGTAGAACATGGTGATACCGCATAGTTTAAAATTAGGAAATGTGTCTGTCAGGGTTGTATTTTTTCTCCATACCTATTCAGTTTGTATCCTATACAAATAATTTAAGAAACTGACTGACGTGAAGAAGAATGTGGCATAAAGATTGAAGGAAGACTCATCAACAACTTCCATGTGATAAAATGATAAAATCTTACTTGCTAAAAATGAAGACGACCTGAAGCACTCACTGCGAAAAATCAAAGGTTACAGCCTGCAATATAAATTACATCTCAACATCATGAAAACAGAAATCCTCACCATTAGACCATGTTGTTGTTGTTGTTATGTGCCGTCGAGTCGTTTTCGACTCA